AACCGAAAGCACTGTATCGAACGGTTCAATATCGATACGAATATCGTTGCACCCCTAATGAACATAATCAAATTTTTGGGAATCAAACAAATTTTTGGGAATCGCACTTAAGCTTCCTTATTGCCATAAAATATGGAAGCCGTAATGGATGTAAAGTTGGCATCACTAGAAAGCCCAGGACGTCCTCTTGGCACTATAGGACTCATATAGTCAAGTCAAGTCAAGTTGGCTTTATTGTCACTTCAACCATATACAGTTAGTACACAGTGAAGCGACACAACGTTCCTCCAGAACCAAGGTGCTACATTCAACATAAATTTACAACATAAATTATATTTGCCATCATTTAGATGGCATAAATTTTGCTTGACGTAGAAGTCTTAGACTCATGTCCCTCACAAAAGCCAAGAATTAATTGGTGGCATGGATGGCGTGGACTACCATTGTGATGGCAATTTGGGGATTTTAAGAATGTTTTGAACTGAACTGATTTTCCAGGGTGGAATAATTGTATAGCACACATCTTTAATGACTTAAAAAAAGACTTGGATGAACTAGTTTGAAATTACTTGGATTTTCTCTAATCTACACTAGTAAAAGGTATGCATACACCCCCACTAACACTGGGTTAAATGTCCCGTAGCAAACTGCACCTCACTAAGACACTTTTGATTCCCATTAGCAGACTTCTGGTATAATTCTGGTTGGATATTTGAGCATTCTTCTTGGCAGAATTGGTAATTTTATTTAAATTAGTTATTTTCCTGACACAAATCTGGCTGTTAAGCATAGTACACAAATTTAATATGTTTGAGGTTGGGGCTTTGGGAAGTACATTGCAAACAGTTTAATGTTAACCTGCTTTATCTATTCCAAAATCAACACCTATTATGTCCAAATGTCACTGTACAGTTGTTGATTTAATTTCAGTAGTCCTCCTTCTTTGTGACTCCATCTAATTTGTACAATACCCAAATACCACTAGCAGCAAAATGGCCCCAAAGCATGATGCTACCACTACTATGCTTGACAGGAAATTTGAGCTGAGCTTGATGGTGGCAATTTTAGTATTCTCCTCTCAGTCCATGATGATATAAAACTCAATTCACTGTAAACAGTGCCGTTGATGTTCCAGCAGTTTCCAGTTCAGCCATGCTTGAGCCCAAAAGAACATTATGACCAGTTTCCACTCATCTGAGGATGATTTGGTTTTCTTACAGAACTAGTGACACATCTGTGGTGGTGCGTGGTTTGTGGCGCGGCTGCGGGGGGAGGCGGACACACCTGAGCTCGATCAGCTCATCACCCTCCCCTATTAAACGTGCCGGGACCTGAGGAGTTGTTGTTGTTGTTGAACGTGTTATGTGGCTGGCAGCTGAAAAGCTGCAGCTGAGAGTTGTAAGAGACGACAACCGAAATATAGAAAAGTGTGAAGAGTGAAATATGTGTTCGGGTCCGTCCTTACTGCCATAACATCTAAATAATACTTATGTATAATTGTTTGAATTTTCAGTTTTGAAAATTTACAGTTCTCCTATCTGATCTTCACTGACTTCTTTTACCATCGTTCTGAGGACTGTTCAGTCATTTCTACACTGGCAAAGAGAAACTAATAGTTGTAGTTGATCATTATCACAAACAAGGCATTAGTAGGCCTTACCACATCTCTATTTTTTTTTTTTTTTAAATAAACTGATAAAACCACCACACTTAAGTGGTAACTTAAGTGTAATATGTGTTTAACCGATTTCTTTCCACTTCAGGTCTCGAACTGACGTTCAAACATGCACAACTTGGAAAGCTCCTATTCTCTGGGAGGGGATGTTTGACCCTGAAGTTTACGACCAGAACCACAAGAAGGAAGGATCCTCTGTTGCTCTAACAGTGTTTGCTGTGGGAAGGTTTGTTTTCACATTAGTATGACTATTTAAAATACATCCTGGTCTTCTAATTGCCATTTAGTCTGTATATTTGTGCTCTATTCTTCTAACTGTTTGAGACTGTGAAATAAAGCATGAACTTTTTTTCTCCACTATCACCAAAGGTACTTGGACGAATACCTCGAGACCTTTCTGAACTCCTCAGAACATCACTTTATGGTGGGTTTGCCTGTGTCCTACTACGTATTTACCGACATGCCAGAGAAGGTCCTGCACATCCATCTCGGTCCTCAGCGAACCTTGAAAATGATCAAAGTGCAACGGCACTCAAGATGGCAGGACATTTCGATGATGCGAATGAAAGCAATATCAGATGTCATAGAGTCTGATATTCGCCACCACTCCACGCATGTCTTCTGCTTCGATGTAGATCAGGTGTTCACTGGGAGATTTGGCTCAGAGGCTCTGGGAGACTCTGTGGCTCTGCTCCATGCCTACTACTACCACCTTCCAAAGATTTTCTATACTTATGACCGAAACCCGAAATCCAAGGCTTACATGGAAAACGGGGATTTCTACTATCATGCTGCTGTCTTTGGAGGCTCATGGAAAAGCGTAAAATCTCTGGCTGAGGGCTGCTACCAAAACATCATGGAGGATAAACAAAATAATGTGGAGGCTTTGTGGCACGATGAAAGTCACCTAAACAAATACCTGTGGCTGCACAAACCTAGCAGGGTGCTTTCTCCAGAGTACTGCTGGGATACCCACATCGGTTACAGGAGTGACATTCAAGTCACTCGACTGCTATGGGCACCAAAACAATATGATAAACTGCGCACACCTTAGTATTTCTTGGAATTGCACACAAAACCATGCAAATTCAGCAACTCTAATAGCATGAAAACTATATGAAAACACATTTTTCTCCGTACTCACAAAATATGCAAAAGTTGGCAACCATTTCAAATAATGGTATGAAAACAATATGGCAAAGGAACATTTTCCTAGTTACTCATGCTTCCTTGAGTTCATTTACACTCAACTCCAAAATGCACAAGTTTGCTTACAAGACGTCAGATAAATGTCTATGCAAATGCCAGATTTGCTTTCTTATCAGTGATTGCAACATTGTCTTTGTTTAAAAAAACAGTGCTGATAAAAGGTCAAACGAGCAAAGCAAACCACATATAATATACAATTTTAGCTAGTCTTCATCCCATTTCTTCAGCTTCACTTTTTTTTTTTTTTGTACTGATGTCATAGTCACAGTATGTGGTAAAATACATTTCTGGTTTTCAAGTATTAAGCACGGGCGGCTGATCTGTTAAAAAATAAACCCTGTATTTGAATTTCATATAAAGTTATTTTGCATTCCAGCTCATTATTTTTCATTGATGAAAACCTGGGTATAAGCCTGCATTCTGAATATTACAGTCATAATTTTTAAACATCATTTATAACACAGGAACTTTGAACCAAAGGTTTAGGGTTTATTGTCAGTTCGTGCTGTTTTTACAAGTGTGCTATTACTTGGTGTTATGTTGAAAAATGACAGAACTGTTTTCTATATTTATATTGTTGGGGTATAACAAATGTTGGTGAGTACAGCTGCAAGTTATTTTGTACTGATATGAATAAAATTACATCTGTAGGGCACTACTGAATTCTCCGATGAAAACCTTTGTGGTAGATGTAAGGATTTTAAAGAGCTGTTTTGACAGTTTGAGACACGTCTGAGTGCGCATCAAGTGCCTTTCTGCAACAATAATGGCTGTTTGCTTTTCTTTTGATTAGAAGATGTCAAAATAAAATGTTTGTAGGACTTTTTTGAGGAGAAATATATTATGTACAAAAACTGCAATGTTGGGTCTAAGATGTTTTTCAAGTGAAGTAGCATGTGAGGAAAAGGTTTTTGTTGAAAACAAGAAATATTTCCACTGAAAAGCCACGTAATGTGGTTCACGGAAATTTCTGTTACTTGGCTTCAGGTTAAACTGGTATCCTGCTGTAATCTGACCTCAATTGGGCCGTTATTCTTGCGCAATGCAAAAGTGGAACTGGTTTTGTGTAGCAAAGTGATTTTCCAAAGTGCACTTAAGAAACTCCAATCCAACCCCCCCGCCCCCCCCCCCAGAAATTTAGAGCATTTGATATGCTCCTGTTTTGTCTGATGCTGTTTATCTGATCACCAGTCCCTAAAATCTTTAAACTGTGCAGTAATTATGTTAGATACATTCATTTTAATTCTAATGAACTGGAATTTTTTTTCCCCCCGTTTAATAGCAGGAACCATATCATCATTTAGGATTGACAGCACTTATAAGAGATAATGGCAGTTGGCATGAGCATGAAACCAGACTGTGGTTTTGGGGGAGGGGCTCAGAAGGGACTGGTGATGTCTCCTGGGTCAGGCAGATGCACTAATAAGAGACAAAGAGATGAGGGAAGGTAGGTGGGGAACTAAAAGAAGAACAAACTGCTTGTAGCTCAAGGGGTCAAATATACACAAATAATTGAAAGGGGAGTGTTATGAGATGTGGGCCTGCTCCAGAAATTCAGATAACTTATTTCCAATGTAAAACCTTGAAGTTTAAGATGGAGAACAAATGCAAAAATTGTCAATTTTGATGCGAAAGTCCACAAAATTTAGAAACTGATACAAATTCAGGCTGGTTTAATTTGATTGTTTTAATGAAATTCAAACCCAGTTTGTATCTTATTTATTAATTTAACTTTCAAATAAAACAGAAAACTTCAGGAAGGCAGATTTTCAAGGCTGCTGAGGGCAGCCAGGGGACCTGAGCGGTTCAAGTGGTTTTTCTTTGTAGAGGTCAGGTTCAGGTAGCTCATATCTGCTGATTGACACACAATCTCAGACGCACGACTGTAACAAGTCCCATCTGTCTGCTTGGAGTGACCTCTAAGTGTACCATCCAACAAGGCCTGAGCTTCAGACTGCTCGGGTGAAATCACACTGTGGATGCAAAGTTAACAGACATTTAATTAGGTTTCATTGTTCCTAACAAATTAATTTGAGGCAAGTTCTGAATCACTGCTGGACCTACCTTGAAGACTGCTGAGGAAGAGACTTGAAAACTTGCTTTTCATCTGGCATTTTCTTAAGTTTCTAATCACACAAAACAAGCAGCAGATTAATATTAAATTCAAAAGATGGGCTTTATCTGTTAAGACCCAGGACACAGTCAGGCTGTATCAGTGTAGGTAATTCAGTGTCAAAGACTCAACAAATATTAAATTATGTTATGTTAGCATTTAACATGCTACAGACCTCAGCATGTTAAAGTTCATGACAGCACAATCAGAAAAAAGTGAATAAATGTGGCTTGTTTGAAGAGGCTCCCAGGAGAAAGCCTCTTGAATCAGAGCAAACCACACAATGGAACAATGTCCTTTGGAAAGACGAGACTAAAGTGATGTTTGACGAGAATGTCCAGTGCTGTTTGGCAAAAACCAAACAACTCATCAGCACAAACACTTCATACCAACTGCCAAGCACGGTAATGGAGGGGTGAGGATTTGGGCTTGTAGTCACAGAGTCAATCATTAAATCGTTAAATTTTGATGAAAATTTAACGATCTAAGGCCAAAGTTGGCAGAGAGTGAATTTTTCTTTTTTACCAAGGTGTATTTACGCAACACCTTTGAGGCAGAGCCTAATTATAGGTTTAGGAATTTCTATTTTATTAGAAAGGCTCATAGATCATTCTTATGATAGCCAAATAAATGGAAAACGTAAAACAACATGGAGCATGTGTATAAAATAAAAGCATAATTAATAAGCACGAGTGGTACCTCAGCAAAGTGAAGCAGCTCCGTCTTCTGCAGGCTGAACTCCAGGACAGCGAGCTGGTTGGACATTTGTGATATTTGGTTTCCGAGTTTCTTGTTTTCGAGCTCTAAAAGTTCCACCCTTAGGATCAGAACGAACATACCGTAACATGAAGTCTGGATTGGATGACTTATCATTCAGTAAATTTCAGTAATTTCAGTACCTGCATTTGGATAAAGAAGCTTTTAGACAACTGTCCTTCTTCTTGTGCTCCTCCTCGTTTAGCTGTTGCAGTAGCTTCCTCCTCTCAGAGAGTAGTTTCTCATTTTCCATGGTTATGCTTATGACAAGCTCCTTCTCCTGAGCATGAAAAGGAAAAAAGAAACATTTACCACCTTCAGCTTTATATCAGCTCCTACAGTCCCCCTTGATGAACATTTACAAATTTGGCTTCATCACTGAACCAATAAGACAGCAAACAGAAGGACACAAGTAGCAGTTTTCTGTAAAATACAGACTAAGCAACTGTAAAAAGACTCAATGTTACTGCTCCACCTCAAACATCCAAGTGCAGACTCACCTTTGCTACTGAATGACAGCACAAGGACAATTCTCTCTCTAGACTTTTTATCTTCTCATCACGCCAGGTGGTTTCATCTTCAAATTTCTGTTTGGCTCGGCAAAGTTTGGCCTTGTGTTTTTGCTTCATCTCGTGGAATTTGCTGAAGGGACATGGTAAAAAAATCTAATGCAAAAAGCTCATTTCATGATGGCAAAAGATGCCTACGTGTTACACTCTGCACAGCCGTTTTATTCCATTTAATTATAGTTGTCTCCTGTATGGATGAATGGACGTCTAATCATAATTACACGTCAAACTCATTGTATTTGTCACACTGATGTAAGTTAGGTTACCTTCGCTCTTCGTCAATGCAGTACAGGGTCTCGCAGATCTCGCTTTTAAGTGCCTCACACTCCTCTTGGGAGGACAGCAGAGTTTTCATTGCTTGTTGACAATTAATACACTCCTACAGTCCAAAATGAAAACATCAGCACAGACAGAATTTATTTTTATTTTTGGTGTTTACAGTTGGGGTTTTTGTGTTTGTTTTTGTTTGCCCAGAGCATTAAGTATCACCTTCTGCACATGTGAATTATTTATTTGCAGCTTTCTCTTTGAACTGAAAACATGAGCTAGGCAACTGTTATTTTTCCACTTTAGCACTATGACATGAAAGCAGGTTTAAATGTGTAAGCAGACCTGAGGAAATATGGGAAATTACCTTCTGTGGTCTGTTTTCTTCGCACTTTATCGTCTGTGGCTCTTCATCCGCTGTCACAAAGGAGTCATGTGACTGAGTGTTTACAAAAAGATAGGGATCTGCCTTTTTTTGTTTCACCAGCCTTCAAACACAGACATGGACACACACTGAATATAAACCTTCATTCATGGGACTGTTTTATAGAACATCCTGAGAGGTAGAAGGTCCAGGGATTGAATATCGTACATTTGATCCTGCAGGATGTCTTCACTGGTGTTGATATTTAGCACAAAGTTATCCACACTGGTTTGGGGACAGTCAACCTGCTGCTGAAGAGAATGTATCTAAACAGATGAGAAAAAAGATATAATGTATAATGTAACAGAAAAGGCTGTTTATTTTATTAAAAAATTATTGGGACTCCTCTGAAAAAATTCTCCATGTTCTTCTAATGTCTCAATTCGTCACCAAAAGCCATCTCGTGAGCACTGACGCTATTTTAAAAAAATCGGCAGGCAGGTCTGATTGCTCTTAATCAACTTACTCACCCTGTACTGGACACAAAAAGATTCAGGCCCCCGAGAATAGTTGGCGACCACGTGGCAACCACTGGTTATCAGGCAAAAGAGAGTACTATCTGACCAGTTGCAGGTGGTTGCTGGCAATCACTGTGAAATGAACTGCTAAAGCCTCAGTTGGGGTGGCTGTAGCTCAGGTGGCAGAGCAGGTCAGCCACTAATCAGAAGGTTGGTGGTTTGATCCTAAGCTGGCTGCATGCCAAATATCCTTGGGCAAGATACGGCGCCAAGATACTAACCCCATGTTTGCCTACTGGTGGTGGTCAGAGGGCCCGGTGGCGCCTGTGTCCGGCAGCCTCGCCTCTGTCAGTGCGCCCCAGGGCAGCTGTGGCTACAATGTAGCTTGCTATCGCCAGTGTGTGAATAGGTGAATGACTGAATGTAGTGTAAAGTGCTTTGGGGTCCTTAAGGACTAGAAAAGCGCTATACAAATGCAGGCCATTTACCATTTATGCACACTTAAAAACTGGTCAGCAACGTCATTTGTTGTTGCTGATAAGTTGGCGAGCACTTGCTGGAAGTTGGTTGCTGTTGCCAGCATGAACATTGTTTGTGCTATATGG